ATACTCAGGGGCCAGGGATTTAGCTCAGTGGTTCCGCTGCCTGCCTTGTAAGCACAAGGACCTGAGTTCGATCCCCGGTACCAAAAAAAAAAAAAAAAGCAAATATATTCACACTTTATTTGGTACCATTTATTTTCTGCAGACTTATAGTCATTTATTAGCATGCACATATTTAGTATATGTGCTGCCTAAGTTAGCACAGCATGCACATTTTGAAAAGATGATCAGTTTAGTAGTAGAGAGGCCTGGGAAAAACAGGAATAATTTGTGGATAACAAATGTAGTTTTCTTCAAATGTTAAAGAATGAAACAAATATTTACTGGAATTGTTTCAAAATGTTGGGGTTTTTACCACTTTGGCCTTTTCCACTTTTACCTCCAGGTCATCCTTGGCCCTTGTCTACCTAGTCATTTTTGTCTTGTCAGTTATTCTTTCAAAATGGTTCTCTGGCTGGGCGTGGTGGTGCTCACGTATAATCCCAGCACTCAGCAGGAGGATTGCCAGGAGTTTGTGAGTTTGAGGACAGCCTGAACTACATAATGAGACCCTGTCTCAAAAAGGAAATAAAACAAAAAAATCACCACCATGGGCTGGGGTGGGTATCTCAGCGGTAGAGCACATGCTGAATGTGTGAGGTCCTGAGTTCAATCCCCAGTACAGAGTTGGGGTTAAGTCATTATCATCAGCACAGGCACAACAAAAACACTTCTTCCTAGCAAGGCTGGGTGGGGCGTGATTGTAATCTCAGCACTCTGTGGGGCTGAGGCAGGAGGATTACAAATTTTTGCCCAGACTGTGGGCATTTTAGGGACTTAGCAAGAGCTTGTCTCAAAATAAAAAATAAAAAGGCTCCAGGGATGTAGCTCAGTGTAAAGACCCTGGTACGGCAAAAACAAAACAGAACAAAAATGATGCTTCCTATTACTTGTACTGAAAAGGCTAACAGAACAATGTTTATAAAAATCAAATAGGTATCTGATTTAACAGAGAGGCTCAGCAGCAGCCTGAGATGTGCAGTGCTGTCTGGGGAGAAACCCCATTTCAGGAGGTTCAGCTCCCACATGGGCCTGGGGTTGGGGTTCACAGATGTGAGCCTAGGCAAGGGTGGGAAGAGGACCCTGGACTTTGGGGACACCGCTGGAGGAGGAGAGGTCTTGCTTTGGCAGAGTTAGAACTGCTAGTGGCAAAGAGGAAGCTTACTGTGAGGGGACAGTGAGGCCACCAAGGATACAGGGCGGGCCTTGCTGCCTCCTGAGCACCTGGGCCCAGCTGAACTTGAATCCAAAGCTGGTACCTTTCTGGACTCCACGGGAACCAAGGTGTTCCTTTGTTGCAGGCTGGGTGGTATGCTGCCTTTGGGTGCGACTGTGCCCTGCACTTGCCAGTAGAGATGTGCTCATCACCATTTCTCCATGCTCCTCAGAGAGCCCTGTGGTTGTTGGAAGCTCCCCAGGAAACCCCCTACTCTAAATCCTCAAATCCACTCTGCCAGGGTTCCAATTCTGAGGCTTCTGCTCTGCTGTCCCTCAGCCCTCACATTTCAATAGTCCCTTGTCCCCACTGGGACCCAGGGGGGGTCTTGACTGACCTGTAAATCTTCTTGGCCCTAGAAGTTCTTGGCAATTCTTTGGGGGTTGACCCCATGTCCTGGAGGTTTAGAGGAAATGCCAGCAGAGCTCAAGCCTGCAGGAAGCTGCTGCCTGTCCTCCTTGGCTATCGGACCCCACACGCAGAGCTGCACTGGCTTGGCTGGCCATGACTAATGATCGCACTGAACTTCCAAACCCCAGGCCACCCCTACCAACTGCTTTAGAAACTGCAGGGGCTGCGCCAATCTGCCCAGGGCATTTCTCCTTGCTTGAGGTCCCTTCCCGTGTGACTCAGGTGGCCCTTTCCCTATAGGCCAGGGGTTTTCTTCCTAGCTGCCTGGTGGGGGAGGCCTGGGCCTGCACGCTCAGCACCAGCAACACCAATGGAACCAAGCAGTGTGTGCTCTTTAGAGGTCTTGGTGAGCCAATCCTCCCCATAAGATTCATGATACCAAGGCCACCGCAACACCCGAGTGCTACAAGGACTCCCAAATTCAACGTGGATCAGGAGAGTGGCTCTGCATCTGCACCCCAGTGCACTTCAGGTGTACCCATTTATAAAGGGGGAACAACGGGCCAACTTGGGGAGCTTTTACTGGGTGGAAAACCACAGATTAGCTTCCTGCACCTCTGCCAGCTTGGTCAGACAAGAGTGAGGGGGCTGCATGAGTGAGGGACGACTGCCCAGCATGCCGGAGGCCCTGCCCTGAGTTCAATCCCGAGGGTGACACACTGCGGAGGACTGGGAAGGCTTTCGTGAGCCCCTTGCCTCTACTCACTCTCACAGCAGTCTCAGCAAGGGGCATCCAGCCAGGGTTTCGGCTGAGGGAAGGTCCCCAGGCCCCAGGCATGTGCGTCCCAGAAATGCCACGGAACAGTCCACAGGGTAGGTGATGATAGGAGGGAGGCCTTGCTCATTCAGTGATAAGTTTATTGGTCCTCAGCATAACATCTTAATTACCAAGGTAAATTCACATACACAGCTGCAGGTAAAAACATGTAAAATAATATAAAAATAAATTGAAGGCTACTTTATATATTTACTGAATTAAGTAGTGTAATAAATACTATAATAAGCAAAAAGCTTCAATCACACAATTCAGTTTCACTGAAGTTACAGTAGTGTTTGTAAATATGAGTTTTAAAATTTAAGTTACAAATATTAAAGCACTGAAAAACTAGTACAAAAGTGAATTTTGGCACGTAAGTGAGCTCTTATGTCATTAGTATTTGACCACCTGGGACAAGGAGGAAGCCATTTCTCACCTACTTTTTGAGGTAAAACTATTCGACTACTCAGCATCACTGCTGAAATACTTAATAGTTTACAATCTTTGAGTTGAACTTTTCCCTTTTATGAAGCCCAAAGAGCAACCCAGAGCTTATTACTGTGCAAAAATTCTCCAAAATCCTCAAAGAATTTAGGAGGGAACTTTTTATCCCAACCTGAAGGGCCAGGACTTAGGCCTCAGGTCAGAGCACCCCAGGCCTTGGTGGAGCCAACCAGATTCCTTGGAAGTGGCCCTACCTAGGGTGATTATCATTGTCTCCAATTTCTGTTTCTTCTTTCCAATTAAAAAAAAAATCTCCCACATCAAAACAAAGTAATCCATAACTTCAGTGATCACTCAGTCACCATTATCACGCTCACTCTGGTGATATAAAACTGAAGCTGTGAACAGGAAAGGTGGCAAAAGCATGTAAGCCCCTGGTGGACGTGTGTCTGTTCCTGGGAACTGCCCCCATCTTTCCGGGTCCTTGGTATCCACTTCTAAGGTCAGAAGCTAAAACACAGTGTCATGGCCTTTCCTCTGGGAGAGTCCAAGACTCTGCTTCTGGGCCCAGAGGAAGAGAGTGGGTATAAAACCACACAGTTCAAACCAACAGGCGACAGGTTCCAGGGGAGCAGGCTGGGAGGCCATGCGCTCCTGGCCTGACTCCTTGAAGAGCTCCTTCACCAGGGGCACAGCATGTGCCCAGGAATATGCCCTCTCACCAGTGAGCCCCTTACACTCCCGAGCAGGCTGGGGAGCATCTGTAGAGGCTTCAGCCAGTTTTGCCTTTTTGGCTTTGATACTTGTTTTACCTTTTTTTCAATCACAGTTTCATATTTCAGTTGAGGTAATCAAAGTTTTCCCTCTATGAGGAGGGTAATGGGGACAATGGGGCAGGCTGATGAGAGAGCATTTCTATGGATAATGGTCAGAAACCAAAGTCGCCACGTAATGAAACCCTACGTGGGGGGAAGGCCTGATCTTGTGCATGGGACCCCTTTTTAAAAACTCCTTTGTGTAGCAGCCAGACTGCCAGGCCAGGGCAGTCAGGAAATGGCTCAAGCTCCTACCTCTAGAGCTTCCACTGAAAACTTTACAGCAACCCCTGGAAGAAATGAAATGGCCCACGGAACTCCCACCCCCACCCCCTCTTCTAAGGCTGCTCAAGTTTGAGTTTTTAAAAAGAGCTCAGTAGAGCTGAAGGAAGCTACAGTAACTCATTGCTTATTAATCAATTGCACTTATGATCTATGTTACTGATTCTGAAGCAGAGGCTGCCCATTTGTGGGCCCTGGCTTCTGGCCAGCCAGAAGTCAGGGGCTCCCAGACTTGGGCTCTAGCACAGAACCCCTGTCACCAGAGCTGGGTCTGGGGCACATAGGCCTGACTATCAGGAGCCTTTCTTTTTTTTTGGTACTGGGGATTGAACTTGGGTCCTTGCTCTTGCAAGGCAGGCCACTGAACCGCTAAGCTAAATCCCCGGCCCCTCAGGAGCCTTTCTTAATGCAAGATTTCTTTCAATCGTATTTGCACTTTTGTCCGTTTTGCTTAAAATATAGAATTTTTTTCTAATATGAGTATTTTACTGACAAGCATTGGCTAATTGCTTGCTACTTGCACTCAGGCCTCTGTGCTCCATTCCAGTGATCCTCTGCACCAGGGGCTTCTCTCAAAACCCCTCTACATTACAGGAAACTATGCTGGTTTCACCTATGTGCTTCTTCCTAAGGCATGCAGAAATATGTGAAATTTAGAAAACATTTACAATCCAGGCAGTCGAGGTGCTAAAAACCTAATGGATATCCCTTAAGTATCAGTGCCTGTGAACCTCTGTCCCACAAACTAATTATGAAGACCAGGAATAGGACACAATTTAAATTTCCTCCGCTTTCTGGTCCAGTGAAAACAAAATCAATGGAAGGAATTCTAACTTGGGTAGTAGAGTTCTTTGAAAATCCTAGTCCTCAGCAGCCAAACAAATCCAGGGCCAGGGGCCAGGGATTTAGCTCAGTGGTGCTACACCTGCCTCACAAGTGCAAGGTCCTGAGTTCAATCCCTAGTTTAAAAAAAAAAAAAAAAAAAAAATCAATCGGGCCTGGGATTTAGCTCAGTGGTTCCACCGCCTGCCTTACAAGTGCAAGGACCCGAGTTTGATCCCCGGTACCAAAAGAAAGAAAGAAAGAAACAAACAAACAAACATCCAGGGCCAGGAATAATGGCTAGAGGCCATGAATTTTCTGAATGTTGTGGCTGAGAACCAGGTCTTCCCTGGCAAGGCTGAGTGCTAGAGACTGATACTTCTAACTAATCAATTGCACGATGCTGGAGTGCCAGGGGCTCGGGCAGCAGCCTGTTCTTGTTCCTGAATTAGGGACATCAAGTGATGCTGCAGAGCTCAAGAACTAATCACAGGGTGACTGCTGATGCCCACGTGAGAGCCACACACACACCTGGAATGCAGGTGCCTTGCCCTCAGCTGAGTGCCACATGGGAATCCCTCACGGAGAGTACGCTGTGGCTCTGGGCCTGAGTGGCTGGCTCCATGGGCAGAGGCAGGGCTTGTCCACTCCTCCAAGACTGGGCCCAGGCTGGCCAGCTCCTTTAATGGAAAGGCCTAAGCAGGAGCAGCAGGCACTCCTGGAAATGAGGGCTGACCTGGGGTAGCATCTGAGGTCTGAAGTGGGAGGTGCCCAGGCCTGGCTGCAGTTTGGGCAGCTGGGGTTCCATGTAAGCCCTGGTAGCTCCTCAGTGTAATCCTGGTGCTCCTCCCCACCCTCAACCTGTGGCTCAGCAACCAAAGGAAATGCTGTCACCAGAAGCCCAGAGGGCTTGGCCTACACACAGGGCAGGCCCCCTGTTGGTGCAAGTAATGCTCTTCAGCTGCAGAGGGGACAAAGACAACATGCACTCAAGCCAGCACAGAGGCACAGGGAGGGCCAAGCCCCTCCAGGGGCCTCAAGGAGAGCAGGAATCACACATTTAGACACCATCTGTTCATCTCTGGTGGGTGTGTGGGCCCAGTTTCCACTAGGGCTTCTGCTCAAAGAGGTCATGGTACTCCTGCTGGTCCAGCTCGCGGTTGTATCTCTCAATTTCTCGGTTGGCTTCTTCTACGTAGTCATTCATGAACTGGTCCATGACTGCCCCATGGTAAAGGAAAAGCCCTGCGCCTGGAGGACAAGGGGCCTTTGGGTAGGTGGTGTGAGGACACCTGCCAGACAGCATCACAGCTACAAAGACTGTGACAGGTATTGGCACAGGACCTTATGAGGTCCTAGAACGGGGAGCCCTTGGGCTTCACTAGCATAGTTTTACAGGGTTACCTGTAACCAGGCTGTCTCCATCTGGAAATCACAATGACCTGATGACCACAGAACTCAGGGAATCACCACAGCTGCACTCCGACTGCACCCCGCAGAGTAACATTAGCAATCATTCAATAAAGGGTAAAATTAAAAAAGTGTTTTTTGATGGTACTGGGTACAAACCCAGGGGCACTCTGTTACTGAGCTATATTCCCAGTCCTTAATTTTTTATAATTTTGAGGCAGGGTCTTGCTAAGTTGCCCAGGTTGGCCTCAACCTTGACACCCTCCTGCTTCTGTTTCCCAGTGCTGGGATTACAGGCGTGCACTACCACACAGGACAAATCTAATTTTAACAAATTTAAAAGGCCAACATGAAAGTGGACGCCAGCGGTCTGCTCCTGTGTGTCTCCACCCCTCTGACTGCAGCTGCACTGGCTCCAGCAGACACCTGCCCCACTGACAGGCCGGTACCTCGCTGCCCTGCCTCGCCTGTACAGATTCCACACAGGGACCAAGCTGCCTCAAAGGATACGAGGGTGAAAATCAGTCTTATCACCAAAGAAGTTAACAAACTGGGTGCCATTGTAGAAGTAGCCTGCAGGTAGGGGGTCCAGGTGGCGTTTCACCTATGGAAAAAAAGAGTTCAGTAGAATTATCTGATAACTGTATTTTCTACTACTCATTCATTCATTCATTAAAAACAAGCAAACAGGGCTGGGGAATTAGCTCAGTGGTGCCACCGCTTACCTCACAAGTGCAAGGGACCTGAGTTCGATCCCTGGTACCAAAAAACAAAACAAAACAAAAAAGCAAACATAGTGCTGGGACTTAGCTCAGTGGTGCTGCTGCCTGCCTTGCAAGGTCCTGAGTTCGATCTCCAGGACAAAAAAAAAAAAAAAAAAAAAAACCCCAAGCAATGCTGGGTGTAGTGGCACATGCCTGTAATCATAGCACTCTGGGAGGCTGAGGCAGGAGGATCACAAATGTGAACTCACCCTAGGCAATTTAGCAAGACTTTGTTTCAAAATTAAATAAAAAGGGCTGGTGCTGACTGTGATGGCACACACATGTAATCCTAGCGCTTGGAAGGCCAAGGCAGGAGGATTGTCACAAATTTGATGCCAGCCTGAGCTTCATAATGAGTTCAAGGCAAGCCTGGACTAGACAGCAAGACCCTGTCTGAAGCAAAACAAAACAAAACGCAGGGGATGTAGTTTAGTATGAGGGCCCTGGTTTCAAATCCCAAGTACTGCAAAAGACAAAACAAAACACCACAACCACATAAACAGTCCTTACCTTATTAAGACAGCCCCCAAACCCTCTCAACCTTGGGGGGTCTTAAGGAGATTAAGCTGTCATGGTTTCCAGGGTACTGGTCTGATAACGATGCTTGGCTGGCTGTGTCCCTTTCCCTTTCTCTTTCCCACACCCCTTTCGTAGCCTCTAATAACTTCCAAGATAAGCTGCATGCACTCCAATCTTTGATCAAGGCCTGCCTCTGCAGAACAATTCCAAGGGCTGCTTTGCTGCCCAGGAGCATCCAGGCTGTGCAGGCCTGGAGGGGCTAGTGATGAAGGGCCCTCCTTTTCCAGTCCCAGTGCCCTCCTGCCCCAGCTGCTCATCACTGGGCTATGAAACAGTGCATCCTGGTGCTGGGACAATGTCTCTTGGCCTGTGCCACCATGGTCTGCACTCTGGTTTATCTTGGATAGAGGTCTTCTCCGGTTGCTTAGACAGGCAGGCTCTCCTCATTGTCATGTCTATGTCACACCAGAGGTTTCCCCCAACCTCAGTGAGGTCCAAGGGTAAGCTACATAGGCCTACGAGGGAGTCTTGGGGCACAGAGGGGAAAGGCCAGGGCTGTGCACTCACATGGATGTTCTTGATCTCCTGCTGCGTCAGCATTCCCCTGGTCTTCAGAGCTTTCCTCTGAGGCTTCTGTGCAGAGATGTAGCAGAGGATAGATTGCAACAGAGCTGAGGGAGACATGGGGAGGGCTCTGGGGGTCAGATATGTGGAGGGGAAGGCACACTAGCTGTCCAAGGCCCAGAGTCGGTACCCTGCATGTCTGCCCCTGCCCTGAGATCACTTTTCCACCACTGCACCCTGCAAGGCAGTGGGGAACAAAGAGAGAGCCTGGAGCTTCTGAAATCAGCATGGCCCTGCCTCTGCAGATTCTTATCCCTAACGCCACAAAAGACAGACACAAAAGGACAACCTGGGGTCCCACAGTCAAGCACCATTCAAGAGTTTATCCAGGTGCGGCAGCCCAGGCCTCAGTTTAAAGCCAGTCCCAAAGGAGAACCTATAAAACTCCCAGGCCCAGCCAGCTCTATTCTCAAGAGTTCTAGGAGGGCAACCCAACCCCCTGAGGCTGCACTGAAAGGCTTATCACTCACTGCTTGCAGAGAACCTGGATCTGAGCAGATAATCTTGGAAGCCTAGAGTTTGCCCTGAGTGGGTTCCTTCAGTATTCCTAAATCTTAGCCCAGCCTGTGAGGTGTGGCCCAGTGGAGAAGCTAGTGGGGGCTTGTACCAATTAGCAGAAGCCTGAGCTGTGTTGCTCACAACTGTGCCAGGGCTGTCTGGGCTGTAGCAGTTACCTGCTTAGCTGACTGCCGGAGCCAGTCCTTGAGGCTATCTTCCTTCAAGGAGCAGCCAATGAACACCAGGTAACACTCCTGCTGCCCGTTGATGTCTGGAGGGATGCTTCTTGAGTCTGATGGTGGTGTGGGTCCCTCCAAAACTGGCACGATGCTCAGGGAATTGGCCAGAGTGTTGTGGCAGACCTCCATAGTCCTTTCAGAGTCTGCAAGGGGAACATATGCTTATTCCTGAGATCCACCCTGAAAGATAAGGCTCTCCTGAGACTGTAGTAATCAGATGGCTGGGACAGATTCCTAATAAATTAAGAAGGGAGTAGTGACATGACTGTTGGCAAGTCAGAAAGGATGGAATAAGAGAGGAAGGAGCAAAAGGAGTTTCTGGCTTTGCTGGTTCGGGTGATCAGAAGACACTATTAACCCAGAAGGGGAATCCAAGAGGAAGGAAAGGTTTATAGGTGAGTCAAGTGTGGTGGCGCACGCCTGTAGTCCCAGCACTCTGGAGGTGAGGCAGGAGGATTGCTGTGAGTTCAAAGCCAGCCTGGGCTACATAGCAAGATCCTGTCTCAAAAAACATAAAAGAAAAGGCTTGTATGTGAGAAGAGGTGGAACCTGACTCTTCACCTGTGGCATCTGAAAGACTGGGAGAAGTCTACACTGAGACACTGACTGGATATGGAGTCTGGCTGTGATACCATCTGACCAGTGTGGTGCCAAGAATGGACGACACCCAAGAACAGAATAACATACAGATGCACGTTACCTGGGGCCTCAGTGGCCTTGCTCTGCTATCCAACTTCTTGACATTTTTCTTCCTCCAGGACTGGGATTGTGCCTGGGGTCTTAAATGTACTAGGCAAGAGTTATATTCTACCTCCCTAGCCTTTTTTATTCTTTTTTATTTTTCTTCCAGTACCAGGATCAAACTCAGGACCTTGTGCTTGCGAGGCAGCCGCACCATCACTGAGCTAAATTCCTGGCCCCTCTTCTTATTCTATTTTGAGACAAGGTCTCCCTAAGCTACACAGGCTTGCCTTGAACTTGTGATCCTCCTGCCTCAGCCTCGGAGTAGCTGGAAGCACAGGCATACATCACCATACTCAGTTTTGACTTCTTGTTAAACAGCTAACACCTGCTAGTTGAACTGGGGTTTCTGTGTAACAGTGAAGGTGCCCTAGAACCTTCCATCCTTCTTTGGCTCTAGCCTCCATCAACACTTTTAGTTCTTGAAATATGCCTATTCTGCCTCTGGATTACAGGAAATGTTCCTTTTACATGGGGTATTCTCTCCTTCTTGTCACTGAGCTGACTAATTCCTAATAGTTTTGAGGTCTTTGACTCCCCATCCAGGTGCCAGAGGTCTAAGGCTGATAAAAAGGCCTGCAGGCCAGAATGCCATCAGAAAGCAAGCAGAAGCTCCAAGATTTGGCAGAAATAGACTGGGAGCTACAGAGCAGCACTGGGAAGTTCCTGGAGACAGACCCAGGAGGAGGCCACAGCTGACTCAAGTTGGGGTGAGTCTCTGGGACAGGAAGTAAGGAGCTGTGAGCAGAGGCCTCGGTGGTAATCCATGGGCAGAGCAGGGGGCCTGCAGAAAGTGGGCCTCCATGGCAGAGAGGGAGCAGAAAAACCTGATGGTAAAGCCCGGCGGGGGGGCAGGGTGAAAGTTGAAGAGGCATTAGTGGTCTGTAGGGCACTACCAGAGGCTGTTCACATTGTAAACTTCACTTCATGGTACAGGGCTCCCAAATCCGACTTCCCAGTTACCTGAAAACTTCACTTTGCCCAGGATGTGGTAGATGTTTCCAGAGAAGGGGCTCGGCTTGATGGAGGACTGAATTGCTAGAAGAGGAAGAGGACAAGGATATCATCCACTCCAGAGTCCAGGGTTCAAGCTTCTACCCGCACTCCTGGCTCCCAGGGCCTCTGCTGTTATTCCCAGGGATGGGAAAACTCTCAGTGGGGTGGAGATCAAACTGTGTGGCCACATAATCAAGAAGAGGGGACTCCTGCATCCTCTGATCCCTCTGCCTGCTTTTGGTCAGAAATGTGAGATGAGAGAGCGCGCAGAATGCTGGAGTGGTGACGGGAATCAGGGACAACCTGGGGCACTGTCTCACCGGGGCCCGGGACATGGCCCAGCCAAAGCTCACCTTTACACTTGGCTACAAAGCGAGTCTTCTCCAACGGTCGGCCAAACCATACGCAGATCTGAACCATTAGTGGAAAGACTGAGCCAGCACTGAATTTACCTTCATACCTTAAAATATTTAAAAAAATGTAAGTACAAGTACTTTTTTTTTTT